GTATACTAAGCTTTTTATATTCGTCTAACAAAACTCAAATTGAATTCAGCTGGACACACTTTCCTGTTTATCACAACAAATGGCCAAGCAAAGCGCACGACACTGATAAGGTACGCGATACAGTACGAGACCAAACGCGATTTCAGCACGTCTCCACACAGTAAACAAAACAAGCGTTTCCTAGCAACGACAACTGTATAAATATATATGTACATGTATTATAATATGAAAATAATGATTAAAATGTAAGAATAAATAACTAAAAAATATATATACTTTACATATTTAAGAATAATATATTTAATAAAAATTATATTTATTAGTTATTTATTTTTAATATACAGTATATATATATATATATACACTCATATGTATATACATTAAATGATATACAAATTAACAAACTAAAATTCTAATATAAAGAAATTATGATTAAATAACAAAAAAAAAATCGATATTATTGAATTATTTTTCCAGTTTTTTTTCCCTAATGTTGACATAAAAGTGTTGACTGTAAGGCCTTAAACCTGCATTATAGAGAAGCGCAGCCGAGGAAAGCGGCAAGCTGGCAAGCGTGTTTATGCCCGAACCCCTCATTATATCTAACCAAGAGACCGGGAGAGATCTGCCTGCAGAATGACAGGAAAACCGGAACAGAGTCCTCCGTGTTCCTCCAGTTCATCCCTCACTGCAGTGTGTAAAAAAGCACAACCGCACCAAGGCCTTTTCTCTGCCGTGGCTAATACCCACCTACCACATCTCTCTACTTTCATTATCTTAACGCAGAGCCGGTAATTGCCGCCTTTCTGGAACAACAGAAGCATATTCATTAATGGTCGGACACCCCCCACAGTCAGATAAACAATCTAAATGTAAATGTCAGCAGGCAAAGACAATGAGTCGAGACAGAATATTAATGGCTCAAATCTAAGCGTGGCACGCTTTCCGCTCAGCTGAAGAGGTTGGGGGGAGAAAGACACAACGGAGGGGGAGGGGAAGGGGGGTATTATGAAGCATTCTCTCCATCCCTCCCTCTCTGCAGCTTCTCTTAAACCCCCCTTGTTAATCCAGTGCCATGTGCCAAAGTATTCCCTGCCACCCTGGTCCTTTGATTTGCCTCTCCCACAACATCATTGAAATTCATATATGTATAGTGCTTTACATTTTATTAATCATTACTGATCATAAGCTCTTTTGGCTTTTCTGAAAAAAGGCAGGCCTTCATTAATGGATCAAGAAAGAAAAATAACATCTATTGGCTCTCAAAATTTATTTTTCAAGTTCAAGTATGAATACAGAGCCGTGCTTAGATAATTTATTCATCAAAACCAAGAAAATTATTAGCACAAAAACATATTTTTGGTGCTGCCTAATTATCTTGTTCTTGACAGAGAAAAGAAATTATTCTCACTCAAGCGTTTGGTGAGGCGGATTTTATCTAATAATTAACACCTGCAGAAGAAACAGAAGCATGAATTTGTAAATTACATTTTCTTTCCGTATGCACACCTCAAGCGCTCTACTGGACGAAAGTTTACGCAGAGACAAGTACGGCTCGTTTCTGCTCAGTAGGTTTTTTTTGACAATCATTTCTGAAAAGTTTTCCACAAAAAGAGAGGCTCCCAAAAGCATTTTCATGAATAACCATAACTTCACTGACATGTAAATCTAACATTTATAAGGATGGAGAACGGTAGAGTGCATGGGGTCTAATAAGCAAGACAGTGCCATGACAGTCCCACCCCTGAAGCAAACATTTCCGTTCTCTTAGACTGTTCTGTCCGGGTTTTGGATGAATAACTAGGCTGCCTAGGAGCCCTTTTCGTAAAGCCGAAAAATCTGTCGGAATAATGAGGCTAATCACAGGAAAGTCTTTATGCGTGCTGGCATTTGCACTCTCTGCCAGCCAATGCCATTCCTC